CCATTCCAAATCCTTATCCTGATCCCTTCCAAGTGCTACATAATCGTAATGCCTTGTCGCTTTTCCTTCATAATTCCCTCCCCTCCCTTCCACAACTTGTACCAACAACTATTCTCCAGAAACAACCTATTTCTGTGGCTCTGTAATTGGCTCAGAGGCCAATTTCCAAAGAGGATAACGTAAGAGCCTTTCATCTCGCCCTCATGCGAGGAGCACTGTTCTTGAACTTAACCCACCCTTTAACAACAACAAAATTACATTTGAAGTACATAGAAAAACTATAATTCTAACTTAACCTTCGTAGTCGGTGTTGTGGAAGCCTGCGCCTTCCTGTAAGTAGTGGAAAGGTGCTCAAAATGCCTAATGTGGTCATGAGTGTATAATAGTGATCATGATAGTGATTACAATTAATCACACTATAAAGTCATCATATTTTTTACGCTTGGGATTCAAGCATACAACGTGGATACTACTCGCATCGTGGGACCAGTGGGCATAATAATAATAATAATAATAATAATAATAATAATAATAATAATAATAATAATAATAATAAATAATTTTCCTTGCCTCCGAGTGTGGTGGAAGTGGAAAGCTTCCTATTTTCAGGGCCGAGACTTTCACGGGCTTCTAAAGGTCTTTGAGAAGCCTTTCGTTGAGCTCGATGCCTTTTCCTGCTGGCAAAGGCTTCTCACCTCTTATCTGCCAGACGTGCGTGGCCTGCATCACGAGTGCCACCGAGTGCCAAGCCTGCATTTTGAGAGTCGTGGTCTGCGTTCTATGAAATCAAGACCTGCATCTCCTGTTACCTGGCCTGTGTGCCTGGGCATGTGGCCTGTATCAGGCAGGACGTCGTGGCCTGCTTCGCTGGGAGGGCGTCACTTACATCGCTCTGACGATGTATATACACACCACTGAGAGTATAACTTCTTCCACGAGGTGTGGCATGCTGCAGGGAGCCTATGGACTGTTCCACAGTGCGTATGGAGCAGTAATCAATGTGTTCTTGGTCAAAAATAATGTGTGTGAATGTATATATTGTCAACTTACACCACCTCAGGTTAGATTAGGATCTTGTAGGTACTAACCCTTGATTTTTCTGTCTGTTGCATAATGTTTCTTGCATAATGAGGTTACTAACCCCACTATTTTATAAAAAAAATTTACATAATGATTGGATTACAAGTTGTGGTTTATAAGGAATGTTCCAAAGTCGAACGGGAACTGAGGATGCAGCAAGCGTTTCCCCTCTGGATCACAATACTAAGGTGCTGAAACAGGAAACTGCCCAGAAGTTTCAGAAAGCTCCTAATGGGCCAAGGGTTTCCAGTTCTGTGGAGAAATGTGTACCGGTGGCCCAGTTCCCTATACTTTTTTTAATATACTGCTTGAGGGTGCTTTGGTAGATGTTTTGATAGTCTTCTCATCTGACCTTTTCCTCCCTCCACTCTTTTAGTCCCCCTCTATCATTAACCTTTCCAGTCCCTCTTTCAGTCACCCATTACCTTTTCGTTTTTTCTTCGCCTCTCTTTTGCCGTTTAGTTTGTTGTTGTTGTTTTAGATTCAGGTACTTGGAACAAAAAGTTGCAAGTAGCACATTTTGAATTTTTTTATTATTAATACATGAGGTACATCTGCATTAGTGCAGCTACCCTAAACTATATGAAGTGGAGTACAGTGTGTCATAAAAGTTAACTAGGTGATGCTAAAAAATCCCCATCACACAGGATGGTTAGTCATACAGAGGCATGTGATAGGCAGTTTGCACTGGCAGACTCCGGATGCATTTTGAGGATATATCAACACAAGAGTGAGTAAGGTAGCAGTGGTAATGCAAGTCCCCATCTCGCAGGATGGTTAGTCATACAGGGCCATATGTGTAGTAGCCTGCACTGGCAAATTTTGGGTGCACTGTGAGAATATCTTGAAGAATACGAAAGCTCTCTCAACTAAGTTTGAACTCAACTTCTTATTTAACTCTACGGGGATTGCACACCATTTCTGAATTAACTCTATAAATTGAACGCTATTTCTTATTTAAGTCTATATGGTCTGTGTACCTATTATAAATAAAGTCTATGCTATTTATTCATATTTTCATCTAAAATAAAGTCTACGGAATTTCGAACACAATTTTCGAAATAGAATAAGCGAGTTACATGACACCATTAGTATCACAAAAAAAGTCTATGGGTTTTGTACACGATATTAGATATCGAGGGGTCGGTTGTTGGCCTTCTTTTCCCTACTACTAAGTATAGTAAAAGGTGGGGATTAGTACTTCCCCACCTCCTTTGTTCTGCCTCCCCCTCCTCCTCTCAGTATTTTATTTAACCCCATTATTTTTGTTCCTTTCGGACGGCTTCTCCCACCAGGTCACAGCCCAGTGTGATTACTCCGGCCAGGGCATCGGCTGGAGTAATTTTGAGCTCTCACGCAACCTATTTTTCCACGAAGCTGTCAGCATCATTATCTCACGATGTGACCCCTCCTCCCTTGTGTCATGTCTTCTGGATTTGTTATCCAATGTGACCTTTAGGCTTTATAGCACAATGTGATCTTTAGGCTTTGTAGCACAAAGTGACTTCCCAGCATTTGTCATACGACGTGACACCTGATTTGTAACAGATATGACTCCCCCAGAATTTG